GAGCACATGGGGACAGAGGAGTGGGCGTTGGTGGAAAGAACGAGGGGATGGGGGTGGAGGGAATGGTAGGAAGGACGAGGGGATGGGGGTGGAGGGAAATGTAGGAAGGACGAGGGGATGGGGGAGTAGGATATGGTGAAGAGAAGGACAGGACGGTGGTGTGTGGGCATTGGTTAGAAGGACGAGCGGACGCTGGAGTAGGGGATGTTAGGGAGGGCAAAGGGACGGGAGAAAGGGAAGGGGGAGGAATAGTGAGGAGGAAGAGGGGACGGGTGAGTGAGGAATGGTTGGGCAGGCGAGGGGACGGGTAAGTGAAGAATGGTTGTGAGAATGAGGGGACGAGACAAAGGGAATGGTGGGGAGGACTGAGAGACAGGGAACGTTGCTGTGGCTCAACAACGCACATGCGTTGACGAACGCGCGAACGCATGACGTTAACACAAAACTCCCTGCCGCTCGATCGACCGGCAGGGAGCCGGTCGGCCGAGCGGACAGAACACTAAACTTGTGATCCTGTGGTCCCGGGTTCAATCCCGGGCGCAGGCGAGAAACAATGGGAAAAGTTTCTTTCACCCTATGCCCCTGTTACCTAGTAGTAAAATCGGTACCTGGGTGTTAACCAGCTAGCTGTCACGGGCTGCTTCCTGGGGGGTGGAGGCCTTGTCGAGGACCGGACTGCGGGGACAATAAAGCCCCGAAATCATCTCTAAATAACCTCAAGAAGATATATGACCGATCCTAACCACCCCTACCTAACCTATCCTAACCTATCTTAACCTAACCTAAACTAATACAAATAAGTCAATAAATTATGTTCCTAATTTAATATGATAATAATAATTCAAATAAACTAATTGGAAACAATTTATTGAAAATAAAGAAAATCACTCGGCCTATTAGGCAAATCGTGCTTTGCATAGTAGGCCGAGAAGTGCGTTCTGGCTACTAGGTACTACATATATATATATATATATATATATATTATATATATATATATATATATATATATATATATATATATATATATATATATATATATATATATATATGTCGTACCTAGTAGCCAGAACGCACTTCTCAGCCTACTATGCAAGGCCGATTTGCCTAATAAGCCAAGTTTTCATGAACTAATATATTTTTTCTAATTTTTTTCTTATGAAATGATAAAGCTACCCATTTCATTATGTATGAGGTCAATTTATTTTATTGTAGTTAAAATTAACGTAGATATATGATCGAACCTAACCTACCCTACCTAACCTAACTTAACCTATCTTTATAGGTTAGGTTGGGTTAGGTAACGGAAAAGGTAGGTTAGGTTAGGTTAGGTAGGTTAGGTCGTCGAAAAAACATTATTTCATGAAAACTTGGCTAATTAGGCAAATTGGGCCTTGCATAGTAGGCTGAGAAGTGCGTTCTGGCTACTAGGTACGATATATATATATATATATATATATATATATATATATATATATATATTATATAATATTTATGATCGATGTTCCCTTCGGGAATCTTAATTTTAAGATGAATAGGAAAACCAGGGATATACTGAACATCTTGTTTCAGATTCTTTACTTTAAATGCATAACGTTTCGAATACTTCTCGTATTCGTCATCAGATCTAAAAGAAAAAACCAGAAATCACAATCAAAAAACTATAGTAAACAAAGAACTCATACTGAATATATTGCCTATCAAAGAAAGGAAAATGCTTAAAAAACAAAACACTTTAGCGCACTTAAAGTGCGCTAAAGACTACACATTAGACTACAAGACGAAATTTATAACTACTAAAACAAACCATTTTATTAAACTTACGTGAAGTGATCAGAAGTGAAACTTGATACCTAACACATAGATACTAAACTCTATAACAAATATTCATATAATGACTACAAACCTACAAAAAATGTATATAAAATACAAACAGAATAAACGACAATTATAAAGTAATAACCAAAATCTTATAAAACTCAAAAATTAAATAAAATTAAACACCAAAAAATGTATTATATATCCTAAATAAAAGATTATAATAATGTACAATGTCAAGACTTGAAATTAGTAAGAAAGGGCAAAGGCATGATAAACTAAGCAAAATTATAATAAAATTAAACTACCAGAATGAACTATAAATCAAATTACAGGGCCTACTGTGCACTATACAGTGTACAATTGAACAGCTGAAAGGTTGCTATTTAACAGAGGCCGCAGCTCCTTTATATATAAGGATTCCATTACTCTCAAATCTGACTGGCCATTCATACAAGTGTCCAGAATTTTAAAATCAGATTCCAGCAGAGAATGATTAAACTCAAAACAATGGTTTCTAATCTCCGAAAATGCTGGTTTAGACAATGGTAATCCAGTCCTAAAAGATAATCCCCGGTGCTCAAGTATCCTAATCTTAAAGTTCCGAATGGAACTCCCGATATATCCAGCAGTACAGCTGGAACAATTATACATATATACGACATTTGAGCACAAGGGGGTTGGCACTTTATCTTTAAATTTAAAATAAGAGCCTATGGTATTTGTGTTGACAAAAATAAATCTAAAGTCTACTTGAGGATAACACTGCTGCAACAGTCTCCTCAAACGACTCCTTACAGAAAAACTAATAGTGCCATAAAATGGTAAAGTAAATGGTTGTTTGATTGTGATTTTTGTTTTTTCTTTTTGATCTGATGATGAATACGAGAAGTATTCGAAACGTTATGCATTTTAGAGTAAAGAATCTGAAACAAGATGTTCAGTATCCCTGGTTTCCTATTCATCTTATATATATATATATATATATATATATATATATATATATATATATATATATATATATATATATATATATATATATATATATATATATATATATATATATATATAGTATAGGAATCACAAAAGACACCTCCCTAGATAGTAGACGGAGTTGCGTGTTGATAACGGAAGGACTTTACTCCCATAACTCAGCTGTCCAAGGGAGAATTCTCGGAGCTAGATTTACCTCAGCGAGACTTGTTGTTTAAATTACTGGCAACTCTCTCTGCTGGCCCTTGTTACGAACCTTACTCCTGTGGAGGTTAGTTTCAAGTATAGAATGTTGGTGGACACAGTGGCCAATTTTTTATATGAAAATAATACAGCTGATTTCAGGGAGGCCGCGAGTTACCATTAATACTCCGCCCAGCAAAGTAGTACCTTCTCAGCTGGAGATTGTCAGGAATAATGTGAACTGGAATAGCCTAAGTATGTGAGGGAAAAATGAACTCAATCTAAAAGCATGCATGGGGAATATAATAAATATAGTCAATATAGGTTTGATTGCAAATGTATATCATAGAGTATTAAGGGGCGATGACACAAAAGAGGTGGACGCCATCTTGACTTGAGGGGAGGTGTATCGTGCCGATCCTGTTCTGCTATTTGAGGGGTTTTCTCCGGTCGTACAGTCAGATAAGCCTTCCTTTGTATCTAAATAGGGATGCAAGATATTGTAGAGTAGTGATGCAGACTTTGGAGGTGTTCTTTAAGAGCGAGAGTCCAGGTTTCCTAGCGGTGTAAATATATGTGTCATCGGTGGATAGCTGTGGTGGCTATGTGCACGGTTCCAGGTTTGGAACGGAGAACCTTAGGGTATCTAGAGCCCTCCTGGGGGGTTATAGCACGTCATAATGACCTAGAGTTGTAAAGAACAACATTTCATATGTGTAATATCGTGTGTTTTATACATATAAATTTATGTCTTTGTATTAGGCTGTTTACCTTACTCCTTGATTTGCCCTAGGCTCGAGTACAATCATCTATTCCCCTAGACAACATTTGAAAGTCCACCACCACTAAATTCTTAAGAGGCCTCTGAGACACAGCTATGACACAAGTCTCTGAAACACGCCCCCGTGACAGTCCTCTCCCACTGACTCCTTGGTTGTGTTGTCCACATGTCTAGAAGAGGTTAGAAGGACCTACATTTACTCGATTTTGGTATTGATAATTAAGTTGATTCAAGGGAACTGTTTTTATGATGTTTTCATCCAAAAACTGCTAAATTAAGAATGTTTTCTTATAATTGGTGATGAATTTATTGAAAGCATGAGGCAATGACATCTCGCTTTCTATAAGTTATTTTAATTATTACACCATAACAGCAATGTTATCTGCCTGTTGTATTAAATGCTAGTAAATGGTTGAAGTTTTAATTAAGATATCTTGTTTAATAACGAATTTATTAACACTTATAATAGGGTGATAAATTTTGAACGCTCTGTATATCCATGTGTCTTATTTTAATAAACGTTGACCTGTTCAAAAGGTAAACCTTTGACCCGATTGGTTGTGACAGGTGTGTTGCAGCCACACAAGTGGGAGAACGCCATGACCCTGGACTGGGCGTCATGGGGCTACCGTCGCAATGCTGGCTACTACGACTATGTCCCCATTGACTACCTCATTACCACCCTGGCGGAGACCATCAGCTGTGGAGGTAGGTGGCTAAGTTCCCCCTCACCACCACCCTTGCGGAGACCACCAGCTGTGGAGGTAGGTGGCTAAGTTCCCCCTCACCACCACCCTGGCGGAGACCACCAGCTGTGGAGGTAGGTGGCTAAGTTCCCCCTCACCACCACCTTGGCGGAGACCACCAGCTGTGGAGGTAGGTGGCTAAGTTACCCCTCATCACCACTCTGGCGGAGACCACCAGCTGTGGAGGTAGGTGGCTAGGTTGGTGACCAGGCATCCTGGATGGTGACCCAGGCCTTCTGGATGGTGACCAGGCCTCCTGGTTAGTGACCAGGCCTCTTGGATGGTGACCCAGGCCTCGTTGATGGTGACCCAGGCCTTCTGGATGGTGACCCAGGCCTTCTGGATGGTGCCCAGGCCTCCTGGTTTGTGACCAGGCCTCTTGGATGGTGACCAGGCCTCGTTTATGGTGACCAGGCCTCCTGGATGGTGACCCAGGCCTTCTGGATGGTGACCCAGGCCTTCTGGATGGTGACCCAGGCCTTCTGGAAGGTGACCCAGGCCTTCTGAATGGTGACCAGGCCTCCTGGATGGTGACCCAGGCCTTCTGAATGGTGACCAGGCCTCCTGGGTGGTGACCCAGGCCTTCTGGATGGTGACCCAGGCCTTCTGAATGGTGACCCAGGCCTTCTGAATGGTGACCAGGCCTCCTGGATGGTAACCAGGCCTCGTTGATGGTGACCAGGCCTCCTGGTTAGTGACCAGGCCTCTTGGATGGTGACCCAGGCCTCGTTGATGGTGACCCAGGCCTTCTGGATGGTGACCCAGGCCTTCTGGATGGTGCCCAAACCTCCTGGTTTGTGACCAGGCCTCTTGGATGGTGACCAGGCCTCGTTTATGGTGACCAGGCCTCCTGGATGGTGACCCAGGCCTTCTGGATGGTGACCCAGGCCTTCTGGATGGTGACCCAGGCCTTCTGGAAGGTGGCCCAGGCCTTCTGAATGGTGACCAGGCCTCCTGGATGGTGACCCAGGCTTTCTGAATGGTGACCAGGCCTCCTGGGTGGTGACCCAGGCCTTCTGGATGGTGACCCAGGCCTTCTGAATGGTGACCAGGCCTCCTGGATGGTAACCAGGCCTCCTGGATGGTGACCAGGCCTCGTTGATGGTGACCAGGCCTCGTTGATGGTGACCAGGCCTCCTGGATGGTGGCCAGGCCTCCTGGATGGTGACCAGGCCTCCTGGATGGTGACCAGGCCTCCTGGATGGTGACCAGGCCTCGTTGATGGTAACCAGGCCTCCTTGATGGTGACCAGGCCTCCTGGATGGTGACCAGGCCTCCTGGATGGTGACCAGGCCTCGTTGATGGTGACCAGGCCTCGTTGATGGTGACCAGGCCTCGTTGATGGTGACCAGGCCTCCTGGATGGTGACCAGGCCTCCTGGATGGTGACCAGGCCTCCTGGATGATGACCAGGCCTCCTGGATGGTGACCAGGCCTCCTGGATGGTGACCAGGCCTCCTGGATGGTGACCAGGCCTCCTGGATGGTGACCAGGCCTCCTGGATGATGACCAGGCCTCCTGGATGGTGACCAGGCCTCCTGGATGGTGACCAGGCTTCCTGGATGGTGACCAGGGCTCCTGGATGGTGACCCAGGCCTTCTGAATGGTGACCAGGCCTCCTGGGTGGTGACCCAGGCCTTCTGGATGGTGACCCAGGCCTTCTGAATGGTGACCCAGGCCTTCTGAATGGTGACCAGGCCTCCTGGATGGTAACCAGGCCTCGTTGATGGTGACCCAGGCCTTCTGGATGGTGACCCATTCCTTCTGGATGGTGACCAGGCCTCCTGGTTAGTGACCAGGCCTCTTGGATGGTGACCCAGGCCTCGCTGATGGTGACCCAGGCCTTCTGGATGGTGACCCAGGCCTTCAGGATGGTGCCCAGGCCTCCTGGTTTGTGACCAGGCCTCTTGGATGGTGACCAGGCTTCGTTTATGGTGACCAGGCCTCCTGGATGGTGACCCAGGCCTTCTGGATGGTGACCCAGGCCTTCTGGAAGGTGGCCCAGGCCTTCTGAATGGTGACCAGGCCTCCTGGATGGTGACCCAGGCCTTCTGAATGGTGACCAGGCCTCCTGGGTGGTGACCCAGGCCTTCTGGATGGTGACCCAGGCCTTCTGAATGGTGACCAGGCCTCCTGGATGGTAACCAGGCCTCCTGGATGGTGACCAGGCCTCGTTGATGGTGACCAGGCCTCGTTGATGGTGACCAGGCCTCCTGGATGGTGGCCAGGCCTCCTGGATGGTGACCAGGCCTCCTGGATGGTGACCAGGCCTCCTGGATGGTGACCAGGCCTCGTTGATGGTAACCAGGCCTCCTTGATGGTGACCAGGCCTCCTGAATGGTGACCAGGCCTCCTGGATGGTGACCAGGCCTCGTTGATGGTGACCAGGCCTCGTTGATGGTGACCAGGCCTCCTGGATGGTGACCAGGCCTCCTGGATGGTGACCAGGCCTCCTGGATGATGACCAGGCCTCCTGGATGGTGACCAGGCCTCCTGGATGGTGACCAGGCCTCCTGGATGGTGACCAGGCCTCCTGGATGATGACCAGGCCTCCTGGATGGTGACCAGGCCTCCTGGATGGTGACCAGGCTTCCTGGATGGTGACCAGGCCTCCTAGATGGTGACCAGGCCTCCTGGATGGTGACCAGACCTCCTGGATGGTAACCAGGCCTCCTAGATGGTGACCAGACCTCCTGAATGGTGACCAGGCCTCCTGAATGATGACCAGGCCTCCTGAATGGTGACCAGGCCTCCTGAATGGTGACCAGGCCTCCTGAATGGTGACCAGGCCTCCTGAATGGTGACCAGGCCTCCTGAATGGTGACCAGGCCTCCTGAATGGTGACTAAGCCTCTTTGTTTGACTATCTATATAAATAAAAATTGATATGGTCGTTTGTTCAAAATCGCTAATCTCCGAAAGTTCTTCACCAATTGCTTTGAAATTTTTACACAACGTTCCATCCGCATCGGGCCAGATTTTTATATACATACTATATAGATGTCACGTCTGTGACGGTAAAAAAAACATGTTTTTTTCTAAAAAAAAATGTGTTTTTTCATGTGAGAGAAATCTTCAAAACTTCTTTACCGATTGCTTTGAAATTTTGACACAACATTGCATTCGAATAGGCGCGTCTTTTTCTATATCTACTATATACATGCCTCTCCCGTGACAGGAAAAAATATGTTTTTTTTGTGGGAAAACAGCGCCATCTGATGGGTGTAAGGGCTACACACGCTGTAATCTCCGAAAGTTCTTCACTAATTGCTTTGAAATTTTGACACAACGTTGCATTCGAATAGGATCGTCTTTTTATATACCTAATATATAGATGCCACCTCTGTGACAGGTAAAAACATGCGTTTTTGAAAAACAGCGCCATCTGTTGCACATAATGGCAATATGCACGTTATACCAAATATGTCATGAATTCCATTTCAATGTTTCCGATTGCATTTATAAATTTTATTTCCATTGATTTCGATATTTTTTATTTTTTAGTGCTACTGTGGAAGACTGGAGACCTTCATAAACACATATTTGGCTTCACTAGAGGTGTAGGTAGTGCCAACTGCATAGCAACATTACTAGGAACAGTTAACTCGGGTCCAGCTATAGTGGTCTTCCTTGATCTAGAAAAAGCATTTGAACTTGCAAGCCCGCAAGCAATACTCCACACCTTAGTTAAAAAAGGTGTGAAGGGGAAAATGCTAGCATGGATTCCAGATTACCTAAGTCACAGGTATGCCAGAGTCAAGTTGCAAGGAGAAGTGTCGGACTACCACTTGCACGAGAATGGGAATCCACAAGGAGGAGTCCTCAGTCCTAGTCTTTTTAACATCCTTATGGAAAACCTTGTTACCATGACCTTTACAGAAGGGGTTAAATTGCAAAGCTATGCTGATGATCTAGCATTAGTCGTTACGGGTCCTTCACTTCTAAATAAAGCTCAAGGTGCTTTAGATAAAGTGACATCTGAATGCAGTGTTTTAGGGCTAAAAATATCTGCACAGAAGTCTAAGGCGATGAGACTAGGCGGCAACACTCCAGACAGGCACCTACGCATTCAAGACATTAACCTTCAGTGGGTTACACAATATCGATATCTCGGAGTGTGGATTGATTTTAAAATGACATTCAATAAGCAAATTCAATATCTAAGGAGAGAGCAAAGTCACGAATGAATATAATGAGAGCAATCACAGGGCCCCGTCTAGGAGCGGGACACAGAGTGTTGAGAATGTTTTACATACACGCCGTTCGTTCCCTGGTTGATTATGCAGCGCCTGCCTTACTCACTCTTTCTCCTGGTCAGTGGGCAAACGTTGAGGTTCTTCAAAATGATGCGTTGCGAATCATAACAGGTGCTCCCAGATGGACTAAAATACTGAACCTAAGACTCGAAACAAAGCTACCGTCGATTGAAATAAGGGTAAAGGGGATTGCTGCGTGCATGCTGACCAAGATATTGACTAGACCTAGAATCAGTTCACTTAAAGATATAATCACTGGAGCACTAAATCTGGACAGAAGAGCCTCCAATGGCAACAGGTGGACCCATTGTGCGATAAACACCATCAATACGTTCGATATGGCAAACACAGTCTCTGACAGGGGTGTCGACGACATACATGCAGACTTTGTTATACAAGCCCCTTGGGAATCTCTGCCAGCAGTCTTTAAGATTATGGCTTTGAAGGAAAGAAGAACCAGTCACATCCTCATCTGCTACGTAACATTGCACAGATGCATATAGAGGCAAACATGGCATCCGACAGCTTCACTTACTTCACGGATGGGTCAGTAGACCAGCAGGGACAAGAAACCGGAGCTGCAGTTAAAGCAGGAAACTCTGTTTATAGTTGGAGGCTCTCAAATGGGTGTTCGACTTTACAAACAGAGATGCTAGCCATTCAAAAGGCTTTGGAACATGCTCTTGCTGAACACCGACAACATGTTATCATCCATACAGATTCGAGAACCGCCATTGAAACCTTGCAACAAGAACACATATGTGATAACATCCATCTGATCACAAATGTCTTGTCATTCATGCACACACTCAAACGACAAGGCCGACGGGTACTTATCAACTGGGTGCCAAGTCATGTGGGACTATTAGGTAATGACATTGCAGACGAAGCTGCAAAACTTGCTACTAAGAGGGGAAATGTAGACATTTACGTACCACAGAGTCTATCCCAGATGAAGAAAGTAATTCGAAACAGAGCAATGCGAATGATGTACAGTGACCACAACACAGCAGTTGCAACATCAGGATCTGCGGGTTGGTACAAGAATTCAACCAACTACGAACCACTTAGTTTGATGAAAGGGGGCAGTAGAACAACAGAAGTGCACTTACATCGCATCAGGCTTGGATACCCATGTGCATGGGAAATAGGCTTACGGGTTCCGGAAGGTGAGAGGAAATGTCAACACTGTGGAGAAATGCCCGACAGACCACTGGAACATTATCTAACACAGTGCACAGTTACAAACCCGTTAAGATTTCACCTTCGATTCAACAGAGCAGAGGAAGTTGTTAAACACATATGGCAAAATCTTACTGAAGCGACCATACGGGTCATACATACTCATCCTCCGCCCAGGTAAACCAGAAACAAGCATCACTTAGTGGGCCAGCCAGAGGCTTAGGGCCCGCGCAGGATTATCCTGCTAAAAAGAAAAAAAAAAAAAAAAAAAAACTTAGTTTGATGAAAAGGGGCAGTAGAACAACAGAAGTGCACTTACATCGCATCAGGCTTGGATAACCATGTGCATGGGAAATGGGCTTACAGGTTCCGGAGGATGAGAGGAAATGTCATCACTGTGGAGGATTGCCCGACAGACCACTGGAACATCATCTAACACAGTGCACAGTTACAAACCCGTTCAGATTTCACCTTAGATTCAACAGAGCAGAGGAAGTTGTTAAACACATATGGCAAAATCTTACTGAAGCGACCATACGAGTCATGAATACTCATCCTCCGCCCAAGTAAAACAGAAACAAGCATCACTTAGTGGGCCAGCCAGAGGCTTAGGGCCCGCGCAAGATTATCCCTGCTAAAAAAGAAAAAAAAAAATATTTTTAGTGAATTATTTTGTGTGACATTGTGTTGGAATTGAGCTGTGTTTTTTACCATACCGTTCAATTCGTAGGTATAACTTTAGATGTCACACCTGTGACAGGTAAAACTATGTTTTTTTTTTTTAAACAGCGCCATCTGTTGCATAAAAGAGCAATACACATGCTATACTAGATATGGTACAATTCCGTTTCAATGTTTGTGTTTGTGCATAATCGCTAGTCTCCGAAAGTTCTTCAATGAGTGCTTTGAAATTTTCACACAACGTTCCATTCGCATCCGAGCAGGTTTTTATATACATGCTATTTAGATAATACGTCTGTGCCGGTAAAAAAAAAAACTTTTTTCTGAATAACTGTTTTTCACGAGGGAAATCTTCGAAACCTCTTAACTGATTGCTTTGAAATTTTGACACAACTTTACATTCAAATTGGTGAGTTTTTTATATACCTACTATATACATCCCTCATCTGCAACACGAAAAAAACAGGCCGTTTTTTTTAAAATAGCGCCATCTGTTGGATATAAGAGCAACACACGCGGTAATCTCCAAAGGTTCTTCACCAATTGCTTTGAAATTTTGACACAACGTTGCATTCAAATAGGCGCGTCTTTTTATATACCTACTTTATACATGCCACACGGGTGACAGGTAAAAATATGCGTTTATGAAAAACAGCGTCTTCTGTTGCACATAATAGCAACATGCACGCTATACTAAATATGTAACGAATTCCATTTCAATGTTTCCGATTGCATGGATATATATTATTTTCATATATTTCGATTTATTTAATTTTATTTTGAATTATTTTGTGTGACATTGTGTTGGAATTGAGCTGTGTTGTTTACCATATCGTTAATTTCGTAAGTATATGTATATATGCCACACACACCTGTGACAGGTAAAACTATGCTGTGCTTGAAAATCAACGCCATCTGTTGAATGTAAGAGCAACACACATTCTATACTAAATGTTACAATTCCATTTCAATGTTTCTGATTGCATAGATAAATTGAATTTTCATATATTTTGATTTATTTCCATTTTGATTTAATTATTTTGTGTGAATTGCGTTGGAATTAAGCTGTGTTTTTTGCCATACCATTCATTTCCTGTGTATTGTATATTTTTTTATTTTTTCATATTTTCATTTCATTTTTTAATTGTTTTAATCATATTTCAGTGATGGGAACATCAGATCACTTGATGTTCCCAATTTTCTGATGGGAACATCAGATCATTTGGGAAGGCATCGGACAAGGGAGTGGGGAATAGCGAGGATGACGAGGAGACGGAAGTGAGAGATAGTAGGGAGGACGAGGGAACAAGAGAGGGCAAATGGTGGAGAAGGATTGGGGACATGGGAGTTTTGGATGGTGGGGACGAGGGAATGGGGGAATGGAGAATGGTGGGGAGGACAAAGGGACAGGGGAGTGGGGAAAGGTGGGAAGGAAGAGATGATGGTGGAGTGGGGAATTATGGGGTGGATGAAGGGACAGTGGAGTGAGGAATGGTTGGGTGACCGATGAGACGGGTGAGAAGGGAATTGTTGGGAGGACTTGGGGTCAGGGAAAGTTGCTGTGGCTCAGCAAGCCACAGCAACGCGTGGCCGGGTACTGCTGGTATAAATACAAATGGAAATGTTCGTTTGTTCAAAATCGATAATTTCCGAAAGTTCTTCACCGATTGCTTTGAAATTTTCACAAAATGTTCCATTCGCATCCGAGCAGGTTTTTATATACATACTATATTGATGTCACGTCTGTGACGGTAAAAAAAAACATGTTTTTTTTAGAAGCTTTGTTTTTCATGTCTTTTTCATGTGAGGGGAAATCTTCGAAACCACTTTACCGATTTCTTTGAAATTTTTATGCAATGTTGCATTCGAATAGTTGCGTTATTTTATATACCTATTATATACATGCCTCACCTGTGACAAGAAAACATGCTGTAATCTCTGAAATTTCTTCACCGTTTGCTTTCAAATTTTGACACAACGTTCAATTCGAATATGCACGTATTTTTACATACTACAATATAGATGCCACCCCTGTGACAGGTAAAAACATGCGTTTCTGAAAAACAGCGCCGTCTGGTGCACATAAGAACAACACAAGCTGTACTAATTATGTTACGATTCCATTTCAATGTTACCGATTTCATTGATAAATTGAATTTTTATAGATATCAATTTATTTTCATTTTGATTTAATTATTTTGTGTGACATAGCGTTGGAATTGAGCTGTGTTGTTTACCGTTCCGTTCATTTCGTGAGTACAGTTTATTTTTGTATTTGTTTATTTTGTTCATTTCGTTTATTGAACTGTTTTTCTGATATTTCAGTGATGGGAAAATCTGGGGCAAGATTCACGAAGCAGTTACGCAAGTGCTTACAAACGTATACATCTTTCGTCAATCTTTGATGTCTTTGGTTACATTTATTAAACAGTTTACAAGCAATACAACTTTCCAATCAACTGTTGTTATTGTTATAAACAGCCTCTTGGTGCTTTGGAGCTCATTAACTGTTTAATAATTGTAAACAAAGCCACCAAAGATTGAGAAAAGATGTTCAGGTTCGTAAGTGTTTGCGTAATTTTTTCGTGAATCTATTCCCAGATCATTTGATGTTCCCAATTTTCTGATGGGAACATCAGATCATTTGATCATCAGACGAGGTAGTGGGGAATGGTGGGAAGGATGAGAGGACGGGAGTGTGGGATGGTGGGGAAGAACGAGGGGACAGGGGAGGGGGTAATAGTGGGAGAGGATGAGGGGACAGGCGGAGTTTGGGATGTTGGGGACGAGGTGACAGGGGAATGGAGAATGGTGGGGAGGACAAAGGGACAGGGGGAGTGGGGATATTGGGGAGGACGAAGGGACGGGGGAAGGGTGGGAATGATAGGGAGGACGAGGGGACGGGGAATGAGAGATAGTGGGGAGGACGAGGGGACTGAGGAGTGGGTAATAGTTAGGAGGACGAGGGGACGGAGAAGGTGGGGGAGGGGGGAATGGTGGAGAGGACTGGAAGACAGGGGAAGGTTGCTGTGGTTCAACAACAGCCACAGCAACGCGTGGCCGGGTACAGTTAGTATAAAATATAAATACAATAGATTGTTTTCTTTTTTTGTGAATTGTTTATACATGTGCTGTTGACCAAAAGATGGACACAATATTCTCTGAGGGAATCTAACAATATTTTGTTTTGGCTAGACGTTCGCTAGTTGTTTGGTAAACTAAGTAATTGTGTACTATCTCTCTCGAGTACACTTTCCTCCAGAATACTGCTTTACGTAATACCTGTAATTTTATTGTTCTACGTAATTGGTTTTTAAATTAATTAAATTTAAGTTTTTAAAGAGTTAAATCTATTTTTGCAAGTAAATTTTTGACTTGCGAAATCAAAAATATTTATTTTTGTATTTTTTGACGGTAATTTTAGTTCAAGGATATGGCGAATAATATTGTTTGCGTCGACGTCCGACAGGTAACCTACTGATCAACGTGGGCCCGACGCACGACGGTCGCATCCCGGCCATTATGGAGGAGCGACTCCGGCAGCTGGGCTCCTGGCTGGACATTAACGGCGAGGCGGTGTACGACACCACACCCTGGCAACACCAGAACGACACCGTCACTCCTGGAGTGTGGTGAGTAACCCCCGTCACTCCTGGAGTGTGGTGAGTAACCCCGTCACTCTCCCGTCACTCCTGGAGTGTGGTGAGTAACCCCGTCACTCTCCCGTCACTCCTGGAGTGTGGTGAGTAACCCCGTCACTCTCCCGTCACTCCTGGAGTGTGGTGAGTAACCTCGTCACTCTCCCGTCACTCCTGGAGTGTGGTGAGTACCCCGTCACTCTCCCGTCACTCCTGGAGTGTGGTGAGTAACCCCGTCACTCTCCCGTCACTCCTGGAGTGTGGTGAGTAACCCCTTCACTCCTGGTGTTTGGTGAGTACCCCCGTCACTCCTGGAGTGTGGTGAGTACCCCCGTCACTCCTGGAGTGTGGTGAGTACCCCCCGTCACTACTGGAATGTGGTGAGTACCCCCAGTCTCTCCTGGAGTGTAGTGAGTACCTCCCGTCACTCCAGGAGTGTGGTGAGTACCCTTCGCCACTCCAGGAGTGTGGTGAGTATCCCCTGTCACTCCAGGAGTGTGATGAGTACGCCCAGTCACTCCAAGAGTGTGGTGAGTACCCCCAGTCACTCCTGGAGTGTGTTGAGTATCCTCAGTCACTCCAAGAGTGTGGTGAGTACCCCCAGTAACTCCAAGAGTGTGGTGAGTACCCTCAGTCACTCCAGGAGTGTGGTGAGTACCCTCAGTCACTCCTAGAGTGTGGTGAGTAACCCCATTCACTCCTGGAGTGTGGTGAGTACCCCGTCACTCCTGGAGTGTGGTGAGTACCCCCGTCACTCCTGGAGTGTGGTGAGTACACCGTCACTCCTGGAGTGTGGTGAGTGCCCCTCGTCACTCCTGGAGTGTGGTGAGTATCCCCTGTACCCTGGAGTGTGGTGAGTACCCACAGTCACTCCTGGAGTGTGGTGAGTACCCCCAGTCACTCTTGGAGTGTGGTGAGTACCCCTCCGTCACTCCTGGAGTGTGGTGAGTACCTCCCCGTCACTCCTGGAGTGTGGTGAGTACCCCCGTAACTCCTGGAGTGTGGTGAGTACCCCCGTAACTCCTGGAGTGTGGTGAGTACCCCAGTCACTCCTGGAGTGTGGTGAGTACCCTTCGTCACTCCAGGAGTGTGGTGAGTACCCCCCGTCACTCCTGGAATGTGGTGAGTACCCCCAGTCACTCCTGGAGTGTGGTGAGTACCCCCATCACTCCAGGAGTGTGGTGAGTACCCTTCGTCATTCCTGGAGTGTGGTGAGTACCCCAGTCACTCCTGGAGAGTGGGAGTACCCCCAGTCACTCCTGGA